AATTGACCCCGAAAAGGAGCGTCTCCCTATTTCCCACGGGCGACTGACCATGAAAAGGAGCGTCTCCCTATTTCCCACGGGCACAGAGAGGGTGGCCAGGTATCTTAAGGGCATATGTAAGATGGGAGGGGGTGCACCCCTAGCTGAGAGTCACTTTTGGGGGTGAGAAAGCGGATCCGTCATCCCAGGGCCAGTTCTTTGGGGACGTAGGGGGCAAAGGAGAAAAACGCCTTTTGGGTTGGGGGGGAGAGTAATGGAGGGATCATCTTAGAAAGGGAACTGCATTTCCATGGTTTGGTTTGGTTTGCTTTTTGGTGTAGGAAAAAGGACAGTGAAGGGGAAAAGAGGACAATCCACGGCAGTCATTAGAAAATCAGATTCTGCCCCAGTGTTGCTTTGGGAATTACAAAAATCTGTTCTCCTTCTTTGTTTCTATAGGAAACACACTTTTATCTTTCCTTGATGCAATGTCTGGAGGCAAGCATGTCAAGTTCTCACCAGGGTGAATGTTTCGATGGGAAATCAGATGCCTTCCCTTCTTGAATGTCTCGTGACCTTCCAAGCACTTCAACTTTTCTTTCTTTCTCTCTCTCTGTGGCTTCTTTGATGAGTAGTGAGTTGCACCCTCTGCCTGAAGCTCTTCCCACATTCGAAGCACGCAAACGGTTTCTCCCCTGTGTGGATTCTCATGTGGTTTTTCAGGGTTTTGCTCTCGCCAAAACTTCTTCCACATTCCATACATGTAAAAGGTTTCTCCCCTGTGTGGATCCTCATATGGCGAACCAAGTGTGTGCTTCGACTGACGCACTTTCCACATTCCGAACACTTAAATGGTTTCTCCCCAGTGTGGATCCTCATATGGGGAACAATGTGTGTACTTCGACTGAAGCACTTTTCACATTCTGAGCACTTAAATGGTTTTTCCCCAGTGTGGATCCTTGAATGCTGATCCAGGTGTGCCCTTCGACTGAAGCACTTTCCACATTCCAGGCATTTCGACTGACGCACTTTCCACATTCCGAACACTTAAATGGTTTCTCCCCAGTGTGGATCCTCATATGGGGAACAATGTGTGTACTTCGACTGAAGCACTTTTCACATTCTGAGCACTTAAATGGTTTTTCCCCAGTGTGGATCCTTGAATGCTGATCCAGGTGTGCCCTTCGACTGAAGCACTTTCCACATTCCAGGCATTTAAAAGGTTTCTCCCCTGTGTGGATTTTCACATGGTTGGCAAGGTTTGGACCCTGACGGAAACTCTTTCCACATTCCAAGCATTTAAATGGCTTCTCCCCAGTGTGAATCCTCCGATGACAAGCCAGGTACCTGTTGTGACTGAAGCTCTTTCCACACTCTACACATTTAAAGGGTTTCACTGTGTCCATTCCCTCAGGGAGAACAATGTTTGGTCTGTGCTGGACGCTCTTTCTACTTTCGTAGCTCTGAAAAGTTTGATGCATTCCCAAGGGTGAATGATCCCAAAGACTCTTGGTACCTTCTGGGGTTTTCAGCGGTCTCCCTCTTGTGTGGACTGTCCAAGCAGCACTTCGACTACAGTTAGTTCTGGCCAAAGAACATTTATCCGTTTCCTTCCTTTTCTCTCTATTTTTCTGGAGCAGAGCATCTTGCGAATCTCTGAGTGGAAAAGGAAAATCTTCATTTCTACTGTGTATATTTGCTTCACTTCTCCTTCCTTGAAGACGACTCTCTTTACAAACGACTGTTTCATATCCTACCCAACACAATTCTTCCTGATTCTTGCTGTATCTTCCCTCATGGGCTGAAATAAGATAAACAAAATCCCATTGGAAGGGGGCACCTCGGGATGTTGAACAGGTTGGCATCAACTCTGAGAAACTATGCACCGCAAAATGACCAGAAGGAGGAAGGGGACAGACCATGAATGGTCTATCCCCTTGTTGACTCTCAGACCTTCTGCACGTATAGTTATTCTAATACTCTTAGAAGTCTGCCTCTCAGTCCCACCTCCTTTTCTTGTTTCTCTAAAGGGGCAGAGCTATCACTGGTCCTTTTCTGTCTGCTTTCTGGGGAATGTATCAATTGTTGAAGATTAAGCTTTAGATCTGTACATATGAAATGGAATATCCTATCCAAGTGACTAGTTGTTTTTTACCTGTTTTATTGGCAGTGGGACTGAGCATCCAAGGGTCTAAACGCCACCTGTTGTGCCACAGAAAGAAAAATGTTCATAGTTTTCCTCTCATCTTGTTAACGCTCGTATCAATTGTTGAAGATTAAGCTTTAGATCTGTACATATGAAATGGAATATCCTATCCAAGTGACTAGTTGTTTTTTACCTGTTTTATTGGCAGTGGGACTGAGCATCCAAGGGTCTAAACGCCACCTGTTGTGCCACAGAAAGAAAAATGTTCATAGTTTTCCTCTCATCTTGTTAACGCTCACAACAGTAATAGGCTACATATCCTTTGGTACCATTTGCACTGTTGATCTGTCGACTGAAGGGAAAAAAGCAAAGCTCACCCAAAGAGAACACATTTTCATGCGTCTCCTCCATGACGTCTCTGTGGCAAGCCCTTTGGTTCTAATCCAGCAATGTCCACTCCGCCTCTGTGAAATCCACGGCAACTTCGTCAAAAGTTACAGGACCCTGTAGGAAGAGGGAGCTTTTCATCTTCAGAGAGAATGCGGTTGTTCGACTCTCACTAAGTACCGCCAAGAAAAGAATGAACACATTTAGAGATGGGCACGAACCAGTTTGTCCCAGTTAATACGGGGGGCAGCAGAGGTACTGCTGCTCCCCTGTCCTGCCTCCTCTGGATCAACCAGCGACTCACCAGGCCCAGCACTCTCACTTCCTGCACCTCCTCCAGTCCCGGCAGCAGCTCAGGCTTCTCTGCCCCACTCACCCCCTTCTTGGCTGACCTGCCACTCAGAGAAAAGGGCGGGGCAGATAAGTCTGTGCTCTTGCTGGTGACGGGGAGATCAGCCGAGGAGGTGGGAAAAGCAAGGAAATTGAGGTGAGTGGCTGATCAGATGAAGAGGCAGGAGAAGGGAGCCACAGCATTTGTGCTGCAGCCTTTATGGCCCAACACAAACTGGGACAAAACGGTGCTTGCCCCTCTCTAAGCCCAAAATGTGGGCAGGGAATCTGACACCAGACTGAACCGTTCCCTGAGAAACCTGTCAGGCCATTTACTACACAGTTTTCAAAGAAACAAATGGAAGGGGGCAAACGGTATCCAGACGAGGAGACAGACAGGAAAAAATGGTGCCCAGGCTGCTTCCCCGTCTCCCCATCCAATCCCCTTTACCTCTTCTGGCTGCACAGGCACAGCTTCCATTCCTCCGCAAAGGAGAGATGAGGGAGAGGTTCCCTGCATATTTTCAATGCCTGCAAGGAAAGATCTCTTATTCTTCACATGAATTTTATCCCCAACTTACTC